GGGAACGGCGCGAGCGGCGGCGGCCCCGGTGGCTCCAAGAGGCGGCTGGACGCGCCAGAGGGAGGCGGCGGGACCAACCCGGGCGGCCGCAGCAGCGTGTTCGAACTGCAGGTGGCCGACACCCCGGATGGCGAGAAGCAGCCTCAGCTGATCGTGAAGGGGGCTCTGGACCGCGAGCAGCGCGACTCCTACGAGCTGACCCTGCGGGTGCGCGACGGTGGCGACCCTCCTCGCTCCTCTCAGGCCATCCTGCGGGTGCTCATCACCGACGTGAACGACAACAGCCCACGCTTCGAGAAGAGCGTGTACGAGGCTGACCTGGCCGAGAACAGCGCCCCGGGGACCCCCATCCTGCAGCTGCGTGCCGCCGACCTGGACGTGGGGGTCAACGGGCAGATCGAGTACGTGTTCGGAGCGGCTACCGAGTCCGTGCGGCGGCTGCTGCGCCTCGACGAGACGTCCGGCTGGCTCAGTGTCCTGCACCGTATCGACCGCGAGGAGGTGAACCAGCTGCGCTTCACCGTCATGGCCCGCGACCGCGGGCAGCCCCCCAAGACCGACAAGGCCACGGTGGTCCTCAATATCAAGGACGAGAACGACAACGTGCCGTCCATTGAAATCCGCAAGATCGGGCGTATCCCACTCAAGGACGGGGTGGCCAACGTGGCCGAGGACGTTCTGGTCGACACTCCCATCGCCCTGGTGCAAGTGTCCGACCGAGACCAAGGTGAGAACGGGGTGGTCACCTGCACAGTGGTGGGCGACGTGCCCTTCCAACTCAAGCCGGCCAGCGACACAGAGGGCGATCAGAACAAGAAAAAGTACTTCCTGCACACCTCTGCCCCTCTGGACTATGAGACCACCCGAGAGTTCAATGTGGTCATAGTGGCAGTGGACTCGGGCAGCCCCAGTCTCTCCAGTAACAACTCCCTGGTTGTTAAGGTGGGAGACACTAACGACAACCCTCCCGTCTTTGGCCAGTCGGTGGTGGAGGTTTACTTTCCCGAGAACAACGTTCCTGGCGAGAGGGTGGCCACCGTGCTGGCGACAGACGCTGACAGCGGGAAAAACGCCGAGATCGCCTACTCGCTGGACTCCTCCGTGATGGGGATCTTTGCCATTGATCCCGATTCTGGAGACATCCTCGTCAATACGGTGCTGGACCGCGAGCAGACTGACAGGTATGAGTTTAAAGTTAACGCCAAAGACAAAGGCATCCCCGTGCTGCAGGGCAGCACCACGGTGATTGTGCAGGTGGCTGACAAGAATGACAATGACCCTAAGTTTATGCAGGACGTCTTTACCTTTTATGTGAAAGAAAACTTGCAGCCCAACAGCCCGGTGGGGATGGTCACAGTGATGGATGCTGACAAGGGGCGCAATGCGGAGATGAGCTTGTACATAGAGGAGAACAGTAACATTTTTTCTATTGAAAATGACACGGGGACCATTTACTCCACAATGTCTTTTGACCGGGAACATCAGACCACATATACATTCAGAGTCAAGGCTGTGGACGGGGGAGATCCTCCCAGATCTGCCACAGCCACAGTCTCTCTCTTTGTGATGGATGAGAATGACAATGCTCCCACGGTTACCCTTCCCAGAAACATTTCCTACACTTTACTGCCACCTTCAAGTAATGTCAGGACAGTAGTAGCTACAGTGTTGGCAACAGACAGTGATGATGGCATCAATGCAGACCTTAACTACAGCATTGTGGGAGGGAATCCCTTCAAGCTGTTTGAGATTGATTCCACCAGTGGTGTGGTTTCCTTAGTGGGAAAACTCACCCAAAAGCATTATGGCTTGCACAGGTTGGTGGTGCAAGTGAATGACAGTGGGCAGCCTTCCCAGTCCACCACGACGCTGGTGCATGTGTTTGTCAATGAAAGTGTCTCTAATGCAACTGTGATTGACTCTCAGATAGCTAGAAGTTTGCACACCCCACTCACCCAGGATATAGCTGGTGACCCAAGCTATGAAATTAGCAAACAGAGACTCAGTATTGTCATTGGGGTTGTTGCTGGAATTATGACAGTGATTTTAATCATCTTAATTGTGATGATGGCAAGGTACTGCCGGTCCAAAAATAAAAATGGCTATGAAGCTGGAAAAAAAGATCACGAAGACTTTTTTACACCCCAACAGCATGACAAATCTAAAAAGCCTAAAAAGGACAAGAAAAACAAAAAATCTAAGCAGCCCCTCTACAGCAGCATTGTCACTGTAGAAGCTTCTAAACCAAATGGACAGAGGTATGATAGTGTCAATGAGAAGCTGTCAGACAGCCCGAGCATGGGGCGATACCGTTCGGTTAATGGTGGGCCTGGCAGTCCTGACCTGGCAAGGCATTACAAATCTAGTTCCCCATTGCCTACGGTCCAGCTTCATCCCCAATCACCAACTGCAGGAAAAAAACACCAGGCCGTACAAGATCTACCACCAGCCAACACATTTGTGGGAGCAGGAGACAACATTTCAATTGGATCAGATCACTGCTCTGAGTACAGCTGTCAAACCAATAACAAGTACAGCAAACAGGTAAGATGCATCCCAAATATATTTAAATATCCTAGAAGGGCTAATAACTCTGAGACAGAGCATCTTCTATAAAGTTTTGTCTTCTCACTTTTAAAGGTATTGTTTAAAAAGTTAATAGCAGGAATTTAATGTTAATTCATACACCATTAATTTAGTAGAGGCCAGCTACGCAAGGTGCACCACTGTATTTTGTAAGTTAGAGCAATGTTTACTAAACTACTAAAGAAAATATGCAAAGTAGGCATTGTTTTGCGCTTCTCTTTCAACTTGACAGCCCTAATTCTTCCTGCGTTTTCTGTTTCCAGAATAAATATGTATATATTGTTTGGATGGTTACCTTTAACTTGAAATTATTTTCTTTTGTGGCTACTAAATGGATAATTGTATCTAGAGAGACAATTTCTAAGTTACTATGGTGTCTATACAAATGGGACACTATAAAAGTTTCAGCTGTGTTATACATTACACAAGACTTCACAGATAAGCGGATACTGATTCATGCAAATGGAGTACCAAGTGTGAGATACTGAAATATTGACTACTTTGACAAAAATGCTAGTTTAAAAATATTTATGATATGCAAAGATCATGCAAAACTACATTTTTAATACTTCGCTATCTATAATAATTAAGCTTCTTTAAGGATATGAAATCATCATTCACATTCTTTGTGTTTGGTATTAAAAGTTTATAAGCAAAAGTAAATTGCATGAACCACTCATCATTTAAGCCAAGCAACAAAAATGTTCATGTTTAATGCACTGCGTGCAAGAATATTTTGGTATCCATTGTGATATACTGAGAATATAAAGATTATATAGAATATTTGACATAGTTGTTTCTATTGAAATGTGGAAACAGTAAAAAAAAAAGGTATATTTTGAGGTGCACTTCAGAAAATATAAAATTTGTTTTTGAAAATTTTGCTTGTGTGATATAAGTAACACTCAGAAAGTTTACTTTTTCCACCCACCAAAGTTGGACACACAGCAAAAACCTTTTAGAAACTGCTGTGTCTAATACTATAGCAACTCCACTAATAACTCTAATGAATTACATGTTTCTTACCTCCAGAACTCATCTAAAGAAACACATTTATGTTAAATAATATCGAATAATAGTTTTTCTATTAAGTATTCTTTGCATGTGGAATGTATCATCTGGGAAGAATTAAGGCAAAAGAAAAAGTTATTTTATAGCCTTATTAAAGATGTCATTGATGGGCTCATTAAAAATATTATAGAAAAGAGATATTAATTCCTTATTGCTTTCACAATTTTACAAATTAGTTTCCTAAAGAAATATTTTCTATGTATCTTACTTTACTGTAGCTGTTTGGATAAGGAGAAACAGGCTCAACATGCTTTTATATCCCATAATCAAAATAGTCCAAGAAAACACAGGTTTGAGCTACATTGCATTAAACGGCTTTTGAAAATATCTTTTGACGCACGTGAGCCTGAGTTATTTATTTCTGTTAAACTGAAATTTGACAAGTGGAAAGCTTATATCTGTTATGTTATTGCTTTACCTGGAGTTAGAAGCAGATTTTTGTTTTGTTTTTGGTGCTTTTATCAGTTTTGTAAACAAGGATGACTCCAGTTAAAATAATAGCACTTTTATAAGATTATACCCACAAATAAATTGAGGTCTGTAGAAATTTCCCTAAAAAGTGATAATTTGTAATGCAAAAGCATGTAAAGAGATCTTTCTGCAGAATATTTACTTCTCAGCTGTCATCCTAGTAGGACTTTTTGTCCTGTGGCTGAATGGCATTTGCCTTCTAAATTGTGTAATCTTAAACTTTTCAGTGGACATATCAAGTGGCAGATTTATAGATATTTTATGCACCACCTCATATGTTCTATGCTGTCACTTAAGCTTTATTTGGCTCATCAAATGGTGTTAGCTCTATATTCTTGAATATTTAAAACAGCCAATACCAAGACTGTTGTGGCATCCTGTTTAAAAAGCAAAGTGATATGCTTATAAATAAACTAATGTATGGTGTTGGTCTCCTAACTGAGCTAAGAAATCCATATACTAGAAGAGAAAACCTACAAAACCATTGAAATAAATCGTGCAGTTTACCAAAAGTGACTTTGGAAAACTTGTATGTTGTTAGGTACTCAAAAGATGTATAAAGTTTTAACTACAATAAATAGCTGACCTAAAATGAAATAAAGGTGAATGAAACACATTCTCCTTAATGTAATTAGTAATAGTAATTGATACGCTTCATCTCCTCAATATTGCTGTCAGGGGACAAGGGATCCATTTACAAAGTTACATTCGGTTTAGTCATCTGACATAATCAACAGGATCTTTTTTGTTCTGATTTTTGTTTGTACCATAAGTAGATGATCTTCTATTTTTATTTTAAAAAGATATTACCTTTAGTTTTTACATACTGTTAAAATGTGTTTTTTTAATTAAACTTGGCAAAAAAAAAAACCAAATGGTTTTGTTATAATTTCTTCCCTTAGCTACTGAATTTATCTAAGGAAAACCTGAGGGTTGCCTTCTTTTAATTCCTTATGGTAGGGATTAATTAAAAAATCTGAGATTTCATCTCACATAAAGCCTTAATTTTATTTATAATTTTTCTGAATTGCCTTATCATAGTTCTTTATTTGTGATATAAGGGAAGTGATGTCTGTTACAGTCTTACTTTCATGGGAATTAGACATTTTTAAATGTTGCTCCTAAGTCCTGTTAATGGTTACATTATAATAATTAAACAGCTTTGTAGAAATAAAAGTTTATAAATAATGCTCCCCCCCACACACACCTTCTTTTGGTTTGTTTTCGTAGGCTCTAGAGACATTCAAATCAAGTTCTATACTTATTCTTTGGCAGAATCTAGGAGATGCGTGTTGCAGAGTTGCTGAAATTATTTCTGAAATTCACACATTAGAAAAACTGATGATGTAGCCCAGGTTTTCTTGGTTCGGACCTTTCAAGTTCAATCAAAAGCCTTTGCTCTCAACTAAATACTGTGTCTAGTTGAGCAAAATGTGGATCATTGACAGCATTATTGAAATTGTGTCCACCTTTCCATTTCATTCTTCTTTGCTTGGTAAACCTGGCATTGGTGGTGGTTAAAGTTTTGTGACAGTTGTGCTTTTGATTTGTAAAATAAAGGCAGAAGTATGCTATTTTTCTATTTATTTTTAAATCTCCAGTGTTTTACTATTTGTTAAGTATTTTTCAATTTTCCTTAAAAAATTAATATAATTCCAAAAGATGAGTAGGCAATATAAAAGTATTGTTACCACTTCCCTTATTATTTTCAAGTCCTGTTGAGTATATCCTTGCCACGCGGTTCTTTAGATAATGCACTAGCAAGTAAAAATTTTATTGTATTTAGTACATGGAAAGTAAGGTACTTTATTTTTGGCAAGAGTATAGAGAATACAGCTTGAATAAACATTAATTTAAAAATCCATTTGTAGCTGATCCTGAAATACTCAAGAAAAATTCATATTAACTCCAGTGAGAGTTTCCTTTGCCTAAGGAACTGCTGAATCTAGTCTGAATAATGTTCTCGTTAATTGATCAAATTGTGTTCAATATACTCATTATATACTTAGTAAAAAATATGGCAGAAATTATTTTTTTTAAATTACTTCAATTCTGGAAGCAAATGGATGACTTGCCACAGTCTATTCGAGTTCTAAGCACTGAGAAAACTAAATATCAGTTTATTTGTGAATGTATATTACACCGTACATATTATAGTGGAAATGCGTCTGCATAGTGACACCAACCACAGCTTCCAGTTTTAATTTTATGAGCATAGTTTCTATAATATGATTCTCCTGTCTATAACCAAGGAGACTTGCAAGAGGCACAATGAATCTGCATATGGTGGGATTTCTGTTACTTTTGGCCTAATATCATAGACAGGAGGCTAATAACTGATGAAAGTTAGGCTGTGTCTTGAGTCAGGAGGAATCTACTAAAGCAACATTACCTGGACCTCTGGTTATCTATGAAACAAGAAAAGAGTCATCCACTGATCTGATTTGCAATGAATATGCAAATGTTTATGGAAGTCCAGGCATGACAATTTGAACCTTATCTCAAACTTATCCCAAGTCGATTAACGACTTAGACATAAGACCACAAAGTCAATATAAAGATTTTAAGTAAATATGCAGCAGGATAGATATAGCAAAATCATTTTTTCTTTTTATCTTTCTATCTTTGAGTAAGCACATATCTTATATGTGGAAACATATGCATGTGGTATATATCGCAAACTAACTCTCCACACGCACACAAACATACAGATGGATTCATGTAAACCAACTCTGGTGCCGTTAGACTTTTATTTCATTGTGATATTCATACATAGATATGTGAAAAATATTTGAACTTGCAGCACGTACAAAATTGAAATAAAATATATCATAATCAGCCGCTTAATGTCTGTATCTAACATGACCAGAGTCATCACATTTTAGAAATAAAAGATACCAACTAAACCAGTCCCCTCATTTTATAGAATTTTAGAGGAAACTGAGGCCTAGTTTGAAAAGTAATTTGATTGAGATCACAAGATTATAGGACTATAATGTGGACAAGAGTCCAAGTCATAGAATGCAAAGTCCAAAGTTCTTTTTTATTTATCCTACTACCTGTAGGAAAAAAAATGAATTTCTGCAACTTTCTCTGTATATATTTCAATAGTGACAGAAATCTGTGGAGATGTCCTTATGTACATATAGCTATAGTTTGGCTATGAAGAATGACATTTTTACAATAGAATATAATTCTGCTTTAGGCTCTTGTTTTTATCTTTAAAATTACCATGGAAATTATAATTCAAATTTTATATATTTTTAAAAGAAATTAATATTTTTCCCCCTTATGTAAGATAGCGGTTGATGACATACATTAAAGTAACTTAACATGGTTTAGAACATATATTCATCAAGTCGATTGACAGAATTTTTAATCTGAGTAGAACAATGACGAAAGACGGACCTAAGCTC